CTCTTCTCCTCTCTTCTCCTCCCCTTCTTCCTTCTTTTCTCACTGGAGAAGGAACCAAGGGTCTTAAAAATGCTGGGCAAGCACGCTAACTCTGACCCACAACTGAGCCCTACTTTTTCTAAATAGTGGTTTGACCTCACAGTATCATTGTCTGAAATCTCCGTGATTGATTATGTTGGGGGCTCATAGAAACATACAGGGGCCCCAGGGAGAGATAAAAAGCCAGTGGTCTTGCATGCCATGCAGGTTGTACCACTGTCCTACTGTAGCTCTGCTCTGTGAGACTCACAGGAGTGCAGTGTGGCTCATGTGCCTTAAATGTTCAAGTAAGTGTGAAGAGTTCACAGGGATGCTCAGGGCTGTGCAATTCAGATTATAAAATCAAATAAGGAACTGTAATATTTTAAAGTTTTCCAAAAATACTTTCAACTAATCTTTTTTTAAACTAAATGACTAATATGCAGTTGAAAGACATTAGGTGTTGCTAGTATTTGATTAAACCCTAATACAGATAACTCATTTTTATTTCCATGTATACTGAACATTAATTTCAATAAATATTTTTACACTATCATTTTTCTAACTGATATTTATAGCCAGAATTTATTTACATTTTCTTCCTGTTGAAAGGCTAATAACATTTATCTGTAAAAGATTTGAGTTCTATGTATTTATTTAACCTCAGAGACTTTATTAATCATTTTCACACTGTACACTTCTTGTACAAAATATTTAGTGTTTTTGTTCAGTTTTTCAAAAATACTTATAAGGTCACAGTTGACATGTATGTTTAAGCTTACCAAATATGAGAAAGTAAAATGCAGACAGTCCTGGACATTTGCATATACACACGATTAGTATGTTAGAAAAGTCTTAAGTGGTAACTGTTGAGAGAACGTTCATCTCTGAGTTCCTGAGAGAACAGCCTTGGTGCCCCCGCAAGTGTTTTAGGCAACTTACTTAGTTATGACTAATGTTCTACTCAAACATCGGGCAATAAAAGCTTCTCTTTTCTAGGGCTATGGTAAGGAGTATCTGTTGCATAGTAAGTACTCAGGAACTTTGTTAATTTCTCTAGCAGCATTTATTTATGCATTCATATGTTTTATTTAGCTTGTGCTGCATACAAAGCCCTAAATAGTACAGATACAATATTATAGTTTTTTTTAACCTCAAATACCTCACAGCATAGAGAGGAAGCATTCATACAGACAATTATAAGACAATATAATTACATAGCAAACATATATTAACATTAACATATGATATAGAGGGGGGATGCAGATATTTGCTTAGAAAAATATGTGATGGATTAAAGTTTTAAACCTAAGGAAAGATTAAGAATATAGTAGGAGCCCACTGTCTTGGTGTTTTGAGGCAAATCCCACTAAACTGTGCAGC